CCCTCCTCGCCCCTCCCCCCACCCCCTCCTCCCTTCACTCCACCGCCCCTCTCCCCCTCCCCCCGCCTCTGCAGACTGTCAACGCGGAGCAGACAGAGCGCGCCGTGCAGCTCTCGCTGTGGCTGGAGGAGGCGGGAAACGATGACGACGAGACGACGACGACGGCGGCGGCGACGACGACGACGAATGAGGCGGAGCGCGAGCTAGCGATCGCGATCGGCGAGAGGGACGCGGCGCTGCGGCGGGAGGCGGGGCTGAAGGCGGAGAACGCGCAGCTGAGGAAGGAGGCGCAGGGGGCGCAGCTGCTGCGGAGGGAGGAGCAGGCGCGCCTTCAGGCGGAGAATGCGCAGCTGAGGGCGGAGAAGGCGGAAAAGAAGAAGAAGAAGAAGAAGAAGGAGAAAAAGGATAAGAAGGAGAAGGGGGCGGCGGCGAAGGCGAAGGCGGCGGCGAAGGCGGCGAAGGCCAAGGCGGCGCGCGCCGCGGCGAAAGCGCCAGCGGCGGCGAAGGCGCCGCCAGCGCCGCCAGCGGCGCCAGCGGCGGCGAAGGCGCAAATGCCGCCGCCGTCGACTTCGCCTCCGCGGCGAGGCCGCGCGCCCGCAAGCGCGGAGCGCGCCGCGCGCCCGCAAGCGCGAAAACAAAAGACCAGCGATCGTAATCGCTATCCCCTCGTCCTCTTCCCCCCACCCCGCCCTCCCCCAAGCGATCACCATCGCTTCTCTTCCTCCTTCCCGTCCTCATCCTCCTCCTTCCAAGCGATCGACATCGCTTCACCTCCCCCAGCGATCGCCATCGCTTCTCCTCCTCCTCCTCCTCCTCCTCCTCCTCCTCCTCCTCCTCCAAGCGATCGCCATCGCTACCTTCCTCATCCCCCTCCTCCTCACCCAAGCGATCGCCATCGCTTCTCCTCCTCCTCCCCATCCAAGCGATCGACATCGCTACCTTCCCCATCCCCCTCCCCCCCACCCAAGCGATCGCCATCGCTACCGCGGCGAGCACCCACCAGGCGGCGCCGCGACGAGCTCCAGGTCGATGGGCAAATCCCAAATCCTGAAAAACCTCTTCAAATCCAGGTAACCTCCCCAAATCCAGAAAACCTCACCAAATCCAAAAAAAGATTCCCCCAAATCAGAAAATCGTTCCTGAAAACTACATCCACCTCCTCCTCCTCATCCCTCCTCCCCCTCCTCCTCCTCCTCCTCGTCCTCATCCTCGCCCTCCTTCTCGTCCTCTTCTGCGTGGGGGCCGCGGGCCGCGACGTCCCTGCGGCGCGGCGGGCGGGCGCGCGGCGGGAGGGGAAGAGAAGCGAAGGAGGGATGGAAGGAAGTTATAAGTTACTTATAAGTAACATATATGTTACTTGTAAATATTGCATCTCAGCACGGGTAAGTAACTTAGCGGTAGTTATAAGTATCTTACAGCGTCATTAATAACCAGCGAAATACTTATAACTAACCTAAGTATAGTTATGCGACAAGACAAATACTTAAGGGCACATAGAAATAGTTAGAAATACTTAGGTACTTATCCCTTGCTATAAGTATCTTATACCTCGCTGTACCTATGGTGCAACTAGCATAAGAACCACCACTCTCGAAGTGGATCCGCTGGATCCGGTGACGAATCCCAAACCGGCGCCCTCGCCTGAGACATCCTCACAAAACGGGCCCTGGGGGGGATGCCCAGAGGAGCCCAGAGCGGCCTCCGGCACCGTTTCCGGACGGATCCGCTGGATCCGCTGGATCCGGTCCGACGAATCCCAAACCGGCGCCCTCGCCTGAGACATCCTCACAAAACGGGCCCCGGGGGGGATGCCCAGAGGAGCCCAGAGCGGCCTCCGGCACCGTTTCCGGACGGATCCGCTGGATCCGCTGGATCCGGTGACGAATCCCAAACCGGCGCCCTCGCCTGAGACATCCTCACAAAACGGGCCCCGGGGGGGATGCCCAGAGGAGCCCAGAGCGGCCTCCGGCACCGTTTCCGGACGGATCCGCTGGATCCGCTGGATCCGCTGGATCCGACGACGAATCCCAAACCGGCGCCCTCGCCTGAGACATCCTCACAAAACGGGCCCCGGGGGGGATGCCCAGAGGAGCCCAGAGCGGCCTCCGGCACCGTTTCCGGACGGATCCGCTGGATCCGCTGGATCCGCTGGATGACGAATCCCAAACCGGCGCCCTCGCCTGAGACATCCTCACAAAACGGGCCCCGGGGGGGATGCCCAGAGGAGCCCAGAGCGGCCTCCGGCACCGTTTCCGGACGGATCCGCTGGATCCGCTGGATCCGGTGACGAATCCCAAACCGGCGCCCTCGCCTGAGACATCCTCACAAAACGGGCCTCGGGGGGGATGCCCAGAGGAGCCCAGAGCGGCCTCCGGCACCGTTTCCGGACGGACGACCTGACTGCATAACACGCCTGGATATGCCGACGGGGGCGAAGGAGGAGGAGGAGGAGGAGGAGGAGGAGGAGGAGGAGGAGGAGGAGGAGGAGGAGGAGGAGGGGAGGGGGAGGGGGCAGGCGAGGGAGCCCCGGCCCTGGGGGAGGGGCCCTGAGGGAGCCCTGATGGGCTTCCGGCACCATGGAGAGGTCCTGTGGGGCGGCCGCCCCTTCTTCTCTCGGTCGTTTCCCTCTCGCCCAGAAGCGCGCGCCCCTTCTTTTATATATACAGAAACTCTCGATCAACCGCAGAGCGGCGGATGTTAGTAGTGGTAGTAGCGACGACGAGACGACGACGTCGTGCTGTGCCGCGCCGTGCCCGCGGACCTTGCCACGGACCTTTCCCGCGCGGTTAGGGTCGCTGTGCACGGCCCAGCGGCTCTTGGATCATGCTGCCTCGGTGGGGTGTCCGAGTGCGAGCGTCGAAAAGGCTTCCTGTCGAGGTCACTGGCGCAGGAGGAGGAGGAGGAGGAGGTGTAGGAGGAGCAGGAGGAGGAGGAGGAGGAGGAGGAGGAGGAGGAGGAGGAGGAGGATAAGGAGGAGTCGTCCTCGTCTCCCCCTCCTCTCCTCTCCGCCTCCCTCTCCTTTCTTTTTTTTGTTTAGGCACGCTCTCCCACGCTAGGGGGGAACTCATGCACCCGCAGCCCAGGGGGCTCGCGTCAACTTGGCGGACCGCAAAACACGCCTTAATGTATTGGGCGGGATGCCCAGTGTCTCAGCAGTACTCGGGGGGCTGCGGGGGAGGATAAGGACAGCAAGCGTTTGCTTTATGAAGAGTTTCGGCCCAGACTCTCGCAGGGCCTACGCGAGAGAGGGGGCCGCCAGGGATCGCGGTTCTCGCTTGGCTGCAGCGCTGCCATGCCGTGGGGACGCAGCGCGCAGCAAGACTCCGCAGACCAGCCCTTCGTGGAAACAGGCCACAGGGGCGGCAAAATAAATTGCTGTGAGATATCAGTAGGCGACGCCATGCCAAGAGCAGCCAGGCGATTGCCGGCATAGTCCGGGCACGTCGGAAGGAAAGGGGGGAAATTCTGTACAAAAGGATGGTTTTGTACACGATTTCCCCCGCCCCTTCAGTCAATCAAAGCTGACCCTTGAGCAGGTTTTGTCTTGGCATGACAACGCAGCTTTTGGGCAAATATTTTGCTGTTGTGGCCCTGCTCTGGTCTAGACGCAGCGGCTCAGACGGCGCGCGGGGCGCGCGTCCGCCTGCGCTTGCGCCATGTCCCGCGGGCAGTCCGGCGATGGCAGGGCTGCCAGGCAGGGTCCTGCGGACGAGCGCGCAGGGCGTCTCAATCGTCTCTTGACGGGTCGAGGCGCTGGCGCCCTGCGGCTCCTCAAGGATACCCGGCTCTTCCACCTCGACGACGACGAGGCTTTGCCGATGAGGGGCGACGCGCTGCCGCCGCGGCGAGGGTGCCAGGCCACGCTTCGCGGCGAGGCCGTGTTCGTGCTGGACGCATTCAAGAGGTACGGGGTGGCGTCGGCCGACGTGGCGCCGGTGGAGGAGCTCCCGCCTGATGCCAAGGGGGCCGCGTGGGGCTTGGGGGCCGTGGTCGCGTGCAGACTGGAGGATTTGCGAGATGCCGCCTACGAGCTCAAGGTGACCTTGGTTAATCAGCGCGTGCTTCTTCGGCGAGATTCCAGCGCGGTGTCCTCGCCCAAGAAGGCGCGGTCGGTGAACATGGCGCGCGTGGTGGCCGCGACTCTGCGGGCGGGCCACGCGCCTCTGGACCTCCGCCAGACGCCTGGGCATCCTGGGCCGGTGCAGGTGCATCCGTCGGGGGTCAAGGCGCACCAGGACTGGGCCCGCGAGATGGGGGAGGAGCACCGAGCCGTAATGGACAAAAGACGCCACGCGTACCCTTACTGGGTGCTCGACGTCCCAGGCCCCATGCCGTTCTATGCCCAACCGTGGCGGTGCGACACGTGCCGATTGAAGGGGTCGTTGGCCGATCGGCTTCCCTTGCGGCGCGTCAGGTCTGCGCCCGAGGAGGCCTTGAAGACTTACTTCCAGGTGTTGGACTCTGACATCGCCACCGCGTTCCCGAACATCGCCGTGTTGCACAACGCCAAGGAGGGCACGGCGCGTTTCACCGCCCGGTTCTTCTTCGAGGTGGCCCAGCGCCTGTGCGAGTGTTTCAATTCCCGAGAGGTCCGCAGGCACATCGTGTCCATGTACTCGAGCAACGCCTTGTCTCAGGCCCTCTCGCTGGACGGCGCCCCGGTCGCCCCTGCCTCCCTCCCGTGGCAGGTGTACGCAGTGCCCGACGACGCCATGATGAGGAGCATCTTGATGACGGGCTTCCGAGGTTTCCTCCAGAGTAGAGTCGACGTCATGAAGCGAAGACAGCTGTGCTATAACGCGCGGGGCATCAGGCTGGACGGGAACTTCAAACTCGGTAAAATCATCGAGGTTCCTAAGGGCGGGACCGCGTACTCCGTGGCCATGGGCTTCTGCGGTCTTGACGGCTCCCTCCTCGTCCCGCCCGTGCCGCTGACCCACGAGTCATGGGATTAAATTGAGACCGTCCTCCTGCCCCTCCTCGAAGACGTCAGGGGCACAATGATGGCTTGTGGCTATTCTGCAGACGAGTCCCAACCGGTCTTCTGCTCCACGGACAATTACGAGAAACATCGGCTTCGGCTACGAGGCGCTTTTGCGAAGGTCTGGTCCGGCCTCCGCCTCGTTTCCGACGGCGTCACCCCGAAGGCGCCAGCCTCCAGGAAACGCGTTCTCGCCTCGGACCGCGTCCCAGGGCGCGCGTTGATTACGGGCGACCCGCAGCATTGCATCATCAAGATGAGGCGCTTTGTCAGCCCCCACAGCGCGGACGGTCGTGACTTCCAGTTCGATTACATCGACGCCATCAATAGGCTGAGTAAGCCGAGGGCGCCAGCCGACGCCGCGGCGGTTCGCGGCTGCTGGAGGCCGCTGTCCCCCGCGGGTCGCGACTTGTTGCGCGCCGCAGTGTCGCCCCCGAAGGAGAAGTACGACGCCGTCGCAGGCCGCGCCCCGGCGACGGCAAGGGAGAAGTTCAGGCAGTTCATGGGGAAGCCGCGGATTCTCCAAGACCCAGTGTGGGTGGAGTACTTCGGTGCGCGGCCGCCTCGGGGGACGCTGGCGCGCGTGGCGCGGCGAGCCGGCGCGGCGCTGCACGGCGCCTTGCACCCGCACGGGTGGGGGTCCAAGAAGAGCTTCCGGGCTGAGATTCAGTGCCTCCGCGAGTGGTACAAGGCCGGCCGCAAGTCCTGGGCCCGGCGCCGGGGCATCCGCCGAGGACACGCGGCCGGGCCATGGCGGCCCTCGCGGGACTCTGTGCTGAAGGCGAAGTTGAAGCAGCACCTCCGCGTCCTCGTGTCTCATCTCAAGGTCGAGGCGCTGTTCAAGTGGCGCGAGGTTGCCGACTTGCTCCACGAGGCCGGCATCGACATGCAGTCTGGAACGGTGCCAGTGGAACGGCTATGGGCGAATTTCGTGCGCTATTTCCCCGACGCCGCCAGGGGCATGAGCCGGGACTGGTGGGATCTCCTCAACAACTTGGGGTACATGCGCTACAATTTCCGGCACTTCAACCACCCGCGCCTGGACCCCTGGACGCGCGGAGACGCGCTGATAGCAGAGCGCATAGACAACATGATCACGTTGGCAAGGGCCCTCCAGCGCCACGGCCAGGACACCTCTCCACAGCTGGTCGCGCTGTTCAAGGACGTCATGGGCGATGTGCGCGACGTGCAGGTGGCCGCGTGAGGAAACGCCGGCGCGCGCCGCTGCAGACTGCCTCCCAGGTGCCGCGCCCAAGTTCGGGTCGCGAAAAGATGCAGGGTGGCCGCCTCCGCCCCCTCTTTTAATGGATGGAGGGAGGAGCGGGGAAATACCGTACAATACCCATATGTCATATAGAACTTCCCCCGGCCCCCCCGCAACGCGGATCGCACTGGGCAGCCTGTGGCCATTCGGCTTGCATGTCTTGCCTCGTGGCCACCTGGTGATTGGCGCTTGATGTTTTCTCACATTGGCATGTCATGTTCGGCTTCCCATGGCAATCTGACTTCCGCCCAAATGGCTTAGTCGTTCGGGGCTTGGCCTGGCATTATGCAGCCCGCCCCCCCTTGGGATTGATGGAGAGCGGAAGGGGGAAATTGTGTACAAAAACATTTTTTTGCACGCAATTTCCCCCCCGCCCCTCGGGCCAGTAACGGCACGACACGCGCACATGCTGGGGGGGGCGCCCCCATTACATTGGTCGAATTCGGCAGCCATCGGTTATCCGATTTCGCAAGGCGTGCCCCGTGAACCCTGCCATCTGAGATTTGCCTCTGTCCCTTGGAGCCCCATGCCCCAGTGGCCCAGTCTCATGCGGCCTCCCGGCCGAATGGCTTCGTCTTCCGAGGTCGGCCGTGGGCTCGCGGCCACCCACGCGGGCCCTTCTGCCCCCTTGGGCATTCCCGCGGCCCCCTGGCCTCGTCCAATGATCAGCAAGGGTTCCGGGTCCACGTGCCAGTCCGATTCGATTGCGCGAGCCGGCGCTGCCGTTTCTCATTGCCTACCGAGCCACCCCAACCCAACCCGAACGCCCCAATCCGCCCCCCCATTTCCAGTGGGGGGGCGTCCGGAACATTGACAAATACGATGGACCCCGCACCCCCCAAACCCGAATGTAGGGACTTCGGGTTGGGTTGGGGGTGGTCTGTTAGGTAGCTCGTTTCTGCCCCCGCCCGCAGGCGAGGCACCGCGCCCGGTGCAGCACGCCCGCTGGGGGAAGTACATGCGTGGGCAGCCGCCCGGGCCCGCCGACCGGAGGCAGCCAGCGGCCGCCGCTGCAGCAGCTCCGGTTGCCGACGCCCCCGCGGCTGGCAAGCGCGGCGCAGCTGATTCCTCGGCGGCGCCGCTTCGCCTCAAGCAGCAAAGTGTCGACGGCGGCGCCTCGGGAGCCGCGCAGGCGGCAGCCGCGGCGCCGATCGTCAAGGGCGAGCCGGTCGTCAAGCTCGAGCCGCCCAAGGCGGAGCACGTCCCCATCAAGATGGAGCCCGCTAAGCTCGAGCAGGGCGTCCGCCTCAAGGCGGAGGAGCCCGCTGGGGTCGTCGAGACGGAGCCCAGGGAGGGCGCCGTCGCGGCGCTCGCGACGAGCACCCCGCCAGCGCACCGATGCAGGCGCACCCAGCCGCCGCGCGCGGCCATCCACCAGTCAAGGCCAGAACAATTGCAGGTCGCAGCTGTGTCAGAGCCTGCTCGGTCCCGGTCACCGTGCTCGCCGAGGTGCGCTGCGTCGCCGGACCCCGTGTTCAAGTTCCAGCTGCCAGACAGCGCCGCCAGCGGGCCGAGTTCGGATTCGGACCCCGCCGCGCCCGTCATCAACGCGGTAACGGCTGCCGAGAATGTCCAGGACTTGCAAGGCTGCTTGTTCCCCGCCGACCTCTTCGCGGGCTTCCAGACGGAAGCGCAGATCTACGAAAGCGCGCAGGAGAAACTCCAGGCCATGCACGAGGACACGCGGACACACCGCGACCTCGCGGTCCGCCACGACTTCATCATGACGGGCTCGTGCCCCACGCCCATCCTCAAGGCTGCAGGAGCCGTCTGCTTGAAACAAGGGATTCACTTGGAATCCTTTCTCCTTTGCCTGGACGCGAACGTCACCTGGCTCGAACACCACCGGACGCGCTTGGGTTCTGAGTTCCCCCCGGAGAACGACCCGGCGATCCAGCTGCAGGACGGCGTGATGGACGTGAAGGCCATCCTCGAGGACATGGGGGAGGACGAGAAGAAACCGAAGCGCCGAGCGCGCGCCAAGCAGAAAGCAGCATCGGGGCGCGCCCGATCTGACCCGGAAGCCGCCGCTTCGGCGGAGTCGGGGGCCCCCGCCGAGCCTGGCGCCGCCCCCCAGGCTGCCGCGCCGGCCCCGGCCTTCCACGACGTGATGGAATCCATCCTCCAGCAGGCCTCGCTCGATCAGAATAGCGTGGATGAGATCTGCCGCAAAATTGGGGCGGCGCTCGGGCGCGAAGTCAATGCGGGCGAGAAGAAGATGGTCAGGGCGGCCTCCCACGAGATGATGAGGCAGCTCGAGTGCGAGGAGGAGGAAGCGGAGGCGGCAGCTCGAGTGGGAGGAGGAGAAGCGGATGCGGAGGAGGATGCGCCCATGGCGGTGGTGCAGGAGGTGCATCGCGTGCACTGCATCTCCCCCAACAAGGCCGTCATCTGCGGCGGCTCCCCCTCGAGCCGCAAGAGCCGCAGCTGCGATCTTTCCAATGACTTGATCACGAAGTCCGCCTACGCGCCCCCCGATCTTTCCACGGGCTCGGCGTACCTCGCGGAAGCGACGCTCCGTGGCATCCGCACCTGCCTGCTGAAGACGCACCGAGCCGCCATGACCACGGACGAGCTGATGAACGCCATGGTCACGCCGTGGTCCGACGGGAAGGACCAGTCACACTGCGTTCCACGGTCCAAGCTCTGCACATACACGCAGGCTGAGAGAGACGACATTATCACAGCCACGGGCCCGGTGCATCTGCGGTCCTACTCCTTCCAATTCAAACTCTTCGGCCAGCTGGAGGGCGCGGAGTGGGTCATGAGGCCCGGCCCTCAGGGATTCTTCAAGCGCGTCTCGTTCAGTGTGTCCCCCGATAACAACCCGTGGGATGATAGAGTGCACGCGAGCATGTCCATGGGGCTCCTCCAGGGTTTACATGACTGGATGTTTCGTGGACCTTTCAAGCAGCCGTGCTACCTCCATTTGAGCGGCCAGACCCAGACGTTCTTGCGAATCGTGCTGCAGGCAATCAGAGATTGGATTAAGGAGAAGGAGGAGTCCGGCGTCGACGTCAGCAAGTGGTTCAAGATCAAGCTAGGGTTCGCTTTCTCGGACATTCTGCGGAACGGGTCGTCCACCATGCGCCAGGTCCAGTTCCTGACGTCTCTCAGCAAGGTCGGCCACGACGCGGCGCAGCGCCACTGCGTAATCCCCATGGAGTTTATGGCGGGATTGCACCGATATTTTCGAGAACTCGAACTCCACGCTGGCTTCTATCGCTACGTGAAATCCGCGGAGTCGACGCTGCCGGCGCATTCTCGTGAGAGCGCGCTGTCGGAGGCTTTCGAGCGCGCGCCAGGGCCGCCCCGTCTCGACGTCGGCCTGTCCGTGGACTTCAGGATCAAGCGGGACTTGGTCATGGTCGGAAAAGGGCTGGGAGTCTTCAGCACCACGGATGTGTATCGCAAGATACGCAACGGTTATCGAAGCGTCGCTGAGGCCGCCACGAAGATGACCGAGGCGGCCGAGGTGATGGCGAATGACACCATCCTTGTGAAGGTGGACAAGCCGGCCGGGAAGAACACGCGCGGTCCTACCAAGCAGTATTACAAGCTCAACTCCTGGGAGGACGTATCTTCCGAGGGCCGCAAGGTGTTCGGGCGTGAAGCGCAATATCCCTGGCCCGCTGTATTTATGTACCCTCCTCCTCCTCCTCCTCCTCCTCCTCAACCTCCTCCCCAACCACCTACAATTAGTCTTCTCCCGTGCGGGGTAGATCCCGACGCGCTGGGGCACTACAGAAACATTA